CAGTTACCTCACAAAATATCACTTATATTTTACTAAAGCTCTATGAAATTTAGTAAACATTACATTTTGTAATGTATGTTTACTAAATTTCATACAGCATGAAATTTAGTAAATTAGTTATTAATTGTGAAACTGCTTAATATGACTACAATAAATCAAACAGCTAATTAGGTAAAGAATTTTAACAAGAAAATACATTACTTTTTACTGTACATATTACCAGGAATTCATTACCTTCTCGTCCTAGAACAAGTGGTGTTGATGATGTTGAAAGTGTTAGAAAGACAACAGTCATACATCCAAAACTTTTTCCGTTTATTATAAGAAGCCATTATTAATAAAGAGCATTTGAAAGGTATAAAATAAATAAACATTAATTCATAATGGGAAATTATATTATCTTTTTATTAATTTATTTATTATGCTTATTGTTTGTTTTGTTGTAAATTGTTAATTATGATAATTTATGACAGTAAATAATTAAGTTGAAGCAATCAAATCTTTAAACATCTATATAGTATACAAACACAGAGGGGGCGTCAACTTCTTATAATTTTGATCGAAGGACACTTACAGGTAAGTTACTTTCATCAAATAATTATATTGGCTCTCTAGACGATGGTTGGCGACAAAAATATCCGAGGTCGCTCCTACTCATATATGTTATATAGGAAGATGCCACGTTATCTTTTTGTTTGTACAAGGCGATTATGGGAAATCCGATACGGTCTCATGGCTTTCGATAGATGGCGGTATGATCATCCGCCTTACCCAACCCGTAAAATACTTAGAATGACGACGGCAATTAGGGAAACTTTTGATACAATGACTCTTCCATGTGGACTTTACGTCCTGATAATGAAGAATGATTCTGAACAAACTGAGTAGTGGCGCTGTAAGAATATCCACTACCCCGTGTGGTTCCGTAGGTGTCGACAGAAGAAAACTAAAACAGAAGATTTGTAGCAGCGTCTTCCTAATAAAAATTAAAAAAAAAAAATCACTAAATTATACTATGCCTACCCGTCTGCCAAGCATGGCAAATATGGCGTTTTAATGAAAACAGAAACAGACAGAAACATTTTTATTCAATATAGATTATAAATAATATTTATTGAAAGTCATTATTTAATTTACCATGGATGTCAACTTCAGAATACTGTGGAATCTTCACAGTTGTTGGGTCTAAATCACGTGGGATCATTGTTACAAATAGCAAGTGGAATTTTTGCAAAGACTGCACTTTTAAGCTAACTTCTTTTTCTTGAAATGTGTAACAGAAGCAGCACATTTGGAGTACGAAAGAGCTAGCTTACAAGGCGTTTCTCTAACAGTTAGCTCTAACCTATACATCATCAATGTCTGCATAATCATAGATGTTATTTGTACACATTTTTAATTTTATTATACACAAGCTGTGCTAGCAGTTTCATACAAGTAAACATGTTGTATAACCTCTGCGCATTTTATTTCAAATGTATATTAATTAAAGTTTGTTTTGTATCAAATATAATAACTTCTTATTAATTTGAAATATAATACAAACGGACTGGAGCAGCGTAGTGGATAAATTGATCATTATTTTATTTAGAAAGGAAGCTAAAAAACAACTTCCTACGCTGACCAAACCTGCGATTAACGGAGGGAGGTATTAGGTTGTAACTACTTTTTTCTACACAATTTATAATAGGTAGTTCTAAATAACATTACCTAATATCCTAAATAACAAAATAAATTTACAAATGCAGATAAAATAGTGGTTAACTTAAACCACAGGCGAATATTTATAAAAATGGTGCTGGCAGAAGAATTTTGCATTCCTTAAAAAAGATAATTCACATCTTTTTCGTCGTAATTCGTAACCTTACACTAGGACTTTCTTCTGAATTGTTGAGGCAGTTTACATATGAATATCAATTGCACAAGAACAAACCTCCAGACTGCAACAATTACTTATAAGCCATACGAATACTTGTTCCGTGCAGGATCTGAATACATGGTCCTTAGTGCGGTTACTCACTGTTAAGTCACTGCTCCACGGAGCCCTCAAATTCTGATAATTGAATTAATAAATCTACGTGAGAGAAAAATAAAAAATAGGAGTAACCCTTAACCGACGAGCATGTATGCGTAGGTATATGGATGTGAAGCAGGCGAGAGAGGTGTGTCAGGATCGTGCCAAATGGAAGTCTGTAGTCTCTGCCTACCCCTCTGGGTGACAGGCGTGAGTGTTTATGAATTATGATTATCAGAAAAATAAAAATATTCAGATCCGGATCATACCACTTTGTTATGTGGGATTCAAAAAAAATTCATCGTTTTGTCAGGATTTTAGAAGAGATTGTGTAAGATAAAATTGCCTTTTGCTGTCATGTTTAGAGACAAAATCAAAGATAAAACGTTAATATAAGTTTTGAATCGGTATTAGGAATAAATACTTAGTTTGAATCTAAGGAGTATTAAAATTCGCCAAACGCCTTCCTTTTTTGTTGCGATTCCAATTACAATTTATTTAATTACAAACAAAATAAGAGGAGCTGAAAACAAACTACATAAACAATAACCAGGAAAATATAAGCTCGGACATAAACTGACACATGAAATTTGAAAATGAAGTTTTTGCTATAAAAAAAAATAGAAATGTGTATGCTGTCCTAACGTTTTTTTATACATTACTTTTGGTTTACCATACAGAAATTAGGGGTTTATATAGTTCAATAAATCTATCTAAAATATAAATTAAGGTGGGATAGCTACTCATGAGGTAAATAACATAATAAAAAATATTCGATAGTTAACAAATCAGATATTTTATTCGTTAGATATATTATAAATACTATTCATTGTTCAATTCTAATAGGAAAACATAAGTATTTATTACTCCAAAGATGGAAAAGACTTCTGCAAATACCGCCAAACTATCCGAAGAGGAAAGAGGTTTCCGATGTGAACGGAAGCGAGCTTCCGTGCGGTTGTCAGTTAGACTGTATCAAAAGACTACCCATTTTGCAAATAATCATTTAATGGTGACGAAATTGAGTAATTCATCACTGATCACTATCCATATATAAACGACATTAAGTTTTGTACAGTTATACACTATGTGCAGTATCTTTTTTAAAACAGTATATTAACAATGCTGTAATATGACATTACATAATATTCCCTTTAACCACTCGTGGTAAGCTTATAACGCTTGTGTTACGAGTGGTTGCCAGTAGTCGAATGGTAGACTCGAACCCACGACCTTTTTGAGTTCTCGGTCCGCGCTCTGCCATTAGGCTACTGTCGCTTCTACATATATAATCATAATACATCTACAGTATATAATATGCATAATATGAATTACATAATATTATACAAAAACCTAACGACTAAGAACAAAATATCAAGGTTATTTATTTCTAGAAACGGTTTGTTTTCTGCCTAGAAGCCTATCAAGACCTTCTTAACTATTTATGTCGCTAAAGCGGTCCGGTTCATTATTAAGGACTTTATTGGAACCAGGTTTATTTCACTAAGTTCATTTCACTAAGTTGATATAAGCTATATTACATTTTTACAAATGTAATATAGCTTATTAGAGTACCCTTAACCGACGAGCGTGTAGGATATGGATGTGGAAGAGGCGAGAGAGGTATGTCAGGATCGTGCTAAATGGAAGTCTGTAGTCTGGTTTGGGTGACAGGCGTGAGTGTTTATGTTATGTTTTTTAATATAGCTTATATCAACTAGGGCTATCTTCATTAAAATTAAAATCTAGTATAAATTCTTTATGACTAGGTATAATCGGTTGAAAGGCTCAACATATTATTACGTAAAGAGTTGTGAGTTTATGATCTATGATATGGCACTTTGATTATATATTGGTGATAACACATAAGCATGAAATATTTGAAGTTAGCTTCTTATGTTTTGTGTGTTTAAAACATTTAAGCATAGGTAAGATTTACTAAACAACCTAAAAAAGCTATTAAATCGTTCGTTTACATGTTTTCTCTGATTTTATTGTGTTTGATTTCACTTGTTGTTATGCTGACCTAAGTCTAATGATTTAATTCAGCACAGTATGAAACTATGATTTTTAAACGTTACCCCCGTAAAGTTATATTAGGATTTTTCTTGTGTCGTGGAGGCAGTTTACATACATAAATTTCCCAAGGACAAACAAACATTCAGAAATAAAACAATTATTTGTAAGCAATACAAGCACTTATTCCGTCCGGCATTCGTACCCGCGCCCCTCAGTGCCTCGATTTTTTTATTATTTTCAGTTTTCATTTGGAAGATACCGTTGCTCATCTACTGTTTCTGTTTCCATCTGTAGCCTTGTACGACACACAAGAGATTATATGAGATAATGATTTACCATAGGCACTAGTCTTAATTTTACGTGGTAGAGCCACGCTGTATCTATATTGTACTTGAAACACGAATGGTTCGGCATGATCAGGGAAGGACTACGCTCTCACAGAATACCAGCGTAAAATAGCAGCGTAATGCTGCTGTGTTTCGTATGTTGAGTGTAGCGAACTAGAGACCCTTTTTACCGAATACGAGGCATTTTATCTTAGTCCTCAAGGGGTGCAAACGCATCTGCATTTTGAATTTTATTCAGAGATAGATTATGATGTCTATGGGCTACAGCATCCACTTTTCGCCGCATTGTGCCCGCTTGTCGCTCTTATTCTGAAATAAAAATTAAATAACAATTGTAACATTTGAAAACTATTACGTAATTTCGCCAACTGGTGCATTTTTAAAGGAAAAATATCTAGTAGTGGTCTTAAAAAGTCAGCTAATGTGACAAAAGTGAACAGAAACTGTAAACTACAAAAATAATTTTCATCAGAGCGAATATAAAATGAAGAAAAAAATGCTTCGAGTAACTTAATATTACGCGAGAGAAGTTTGCCATCTTAGCACGCGCTTGTTTTTTTACCGTTCAATAACATTCACCAGCCATCTTACAAAGTATCCTTAGAAGTGTCATGTTTCAGTACCGGAGACGAACTTCCGCCTGATCCAGAACAAGACTGACGATGATACTGTGAACGTCATATGTGCTGCGGACGGAGCGTTTCCTGCACCAAACCTCACGCTAGCCACACCTGAGAGGTATGTTGCTAGCAGATTTATTCTTTTTTTAGTGTAGTTTGAACATAAAAACAGCATTTTATTAATAGTATTAAAATTTTTAAAGTATTTTATCATTTTTAAGTAGTTGTAATTAGGAGTACGTACACTTTTAACGCTGTCTTGGGAATTAACAAATCATTTAGGTTGCTCTTTAATCAAAAATTATTTCTAGTAGAGACTGCCAAATAATGAGTCTTTCAAATAATGGATTCGTTAGTTTACCTTTAAAACTCTTGGCGTACTTAGCAGAGCTAGACAGTATTACATGCCGGTACATCGCTTGCAACTTTACAAAGCGCCAGTAAGGCCTCACATGGAATACTGTTCTCATCTCTGGGCCGAGGCACGACAGTGCCGCTATTGACTGTCCAGCGTGACGAAAGTCTTGTGATGCACAGGCGCTGCAGGAGTCCTTCTTTTTCGCACGGGGAGTGCTCTGAGGAATTGTTCGGATTAATTCCAGGCGCCGAATTTTACATCACATTAACAATGAAATGTTAGTACCATCATGATCATTATCAACATCGGTCGGTTAGTTTTCAGCTGGTCTGGTCATTCGGCGGGCCTCTCCCGTTGATTATTTGTAAATTTAGCTTAATTGCCACCCTTGGCAGGCAGAATGACAATCGTAGTATTAGAGGTCTCACATCTGTGTCGCTAATCTAAACAAAAGCAAAGTAAATTAATGTAAGTAGCTTAAGTAAAAGTAAATGTACATCCTTTATACGTCCCCCTGCTGGGCACAGTACCCCCTCATTCCTGATTTTATCAACAAGGTAAAAAATTTTAAATGTATAAGCCGAAACTTAAAATTAATATTTACATGACTCGTTCGTTTACTAAAAGTTTAAAATTAATTTTATTGAAGTGAGGAACCAGAAAGATCCCTTTGTCGATTAAAAGTCTAAAGTATTTGCTTACTTTTAACCTTTTAACTTTAAATGAGTAAATAGTGTAGGAAAGGCCGTGCATTTGTCAGAATGTGCGTTGCTATAGTGTTATAAAGTAATTGAGTAGAGAATAATAACAATGAAAAACAATAAAAATTCGTCTGTCGAAAATTTGTTCATACATTGCTATTAGTAGTGGGGTTAAAAAATTCAACAAATAATAAAACAAACAAATATTTATTTATTTCTGTTAAAAAAGACCAACTGTATAACAGTTGAATTTTTTAAAAGCCGGATGGATTTATCTTAAGGTTTCTCCTCAGACCGTAAAACTTTGTAACCATTATTTACGTTAACTGTAGTGTTATTTTATAGAAAAAAAACAGTAATCTACAATACATGAGTAACGATGTTGTTTTAATAGAACTAAAAAAAAATCTGAATTCACACCTATTTTTTCAGTTGCAACCCTATTACTGCAACAATTTTATCGAAACTGTATGAAATTTTATATATTTCTTTGCGAAAGCATATAGAATGATTTAATATTACTTTTGAAACTTGGTTTTACCTTATATTATAATAATCAAACAAAGCATTTTATTCGGGGCTAACTTTCTCTCGCACCACGGTCTTTTCTATTACGTCAGCGGGGCAAGTCGTTTTGCTAGAAGGACGTACGCTGGTTGCGGGAGGAATTATTACTTTAACAAATATGTTTATTTTTAAATATATTTTGTATAGTGTAGACTGGTGTCATAGCGTAGTAAAGTTACGAATGTAAAATTTTTGCTTGCCATTATGTTAATAATCAAAATAGTAATAAAAATCTTTGTTGTAGTAAATGTTGTAATTTTATCTACATTACACCTATGTCATGTAGAATTTATTGTATTTTGATATATTTTTGTAAAACAATAATATTGAAATAATTTTGTAAGCGAAAGTACTGCGATAAAGGACAACGAGTAGTTTTGTTTGGACCCCGTCTCTATTAAACAAATATTTTTGTAGCGTTATGATCAATGGTGGTTTTTGTAGTGTCAGTGCATCGATTTATTCTTAGATAGCATGCTTAAATTCACGTAGATAAAAATAAACACATCAACACGGTATAGAGATATTTTAACAATACATCCAAAGAGTACGTTATTATTTTCTTAAGGCATGTATTATATCCAAGAAAACTTTAATTTAATCAATCAATTTACTAATATAAACATTTATACAAACAAAAACTCAAGTGTGAAAATTTTACATAATGAAAGTTTCATTCTTGAAATAAAAAATTAAGTAAAGTAAAAGCACCCATGATATTCATAACGCATCTGCATCGGTTGGGCATACTCATAATATGGTAGTTAATATCTAAGTTGAGGAATGTTGTCACAGGTCCTTTTTTTTATAGGATAAGGGTGACAAACGAGCACACAGTCCAACTGATGGTAAGTGAATGCTGTGGCCCATAGACATCGACATTTAACCTCGATTAAGAATCAAAAGCCGTGCCCAGCCGTGGTAGCTCAGATGGTTAACGCTCGCTGTAAATATAACAGAACGCGAGTAACCCGGGTTCGATCCCCACCGGCACCAATGAAATTGTTAATTTCAATTTTAAGTGCTGATTTACCACGTACTCAGCGGTGAAGGAAAACATCGTGAGAAAACCTGCATGTCTGAGGAATAAGAAAAAAAATATTTCGAAGACATGTGAAGTTCGCCAACACGCATTGGGGCAGCGTGGCGGACATTTCCTTGCCCTTAAACCTTCTCAGAAATGAGGGGAGGCCTGTGCCCAGCAGTGGGACGTATATAGGCTGTAACTTTATTTTTTTTACTTTAAGAATCAAAATGCAGATGCGTTGTTACCCTTGAGGACTAAGATGGAATGCCTCAATTCCAGTAAAACGGGTCTCCAGTTCTCTTGACTCACCATGCAAAACACAGCAGCATTAAGCTGCTATTTTACGCTGGTATTCCGTGAGAGCGTAGTACTTCCCCGGTCGAGTCGACCCATTCATGCTACAACCATAACACAGCTGCAGCGTGGCTCTACCATGTATAAAAAATGCTGCTGAAATGTAAAAAAGTTGTTTTTCTGTTACCACATTTTTAAGAAAATACCTCAGAGCTCTTTTTTACAGCATATCCCAATCATTATCTATGGATTTTAAATCTGGAGATTGCGCTGGACATTCTAGGGTTGTGGTGACATCATGTTCTTGCCACCAGACTGTTACCACCATGAACCGTACCAAAGCATTTCATTTAATGGTTTTCTAAATGATTTAATCACTAGTTACTTATAAATGCAATAATGATAAATAAATCTAGAAGACAATATATACTAACTTATACTCTTGTTAAAATTTCCTAAGAAATCTGTCGTTTTTAAAAAAAAAATTCATAACCATATCATAGTTTTCAGTAATATAATAGGCAATTAAATTGGCTAATTTTATGTTGATTCTTTATTTTTTGATAATAATCAAAAAAGTTACAATTATAGTAATTTCTTGGCCACCAAATGACGCACGTTTACTTCGTGCTGGACAAAATATCGATCTTAAACGGCAGGGCGCAAGCACTGCGTTGCTTGCGCCCTGCCGTTTAAGGCTAATCCCGCACGCTCTATTCTATACCACAGTCTTATTCTTTACCGGCTCCTAAAATTTCACTGATGTACACGGACAATTTTGCACGTAGTAGAGATACACCGCAGCTATATTATGATTTCAGCACCAATAAGTCTGGTCAACCAGTTAAAGACCACGCTCTTAAATAATACAAGTGTGAAATACTGCTGCTGTGTTTCGTATGGTGAGTGTAGAGAACCGTAAACTTTTTTTACTTACGAGGTATTCTATCTCAGTAATCATGGATGACAACAGTTCTACATTTTAATTCCTAGTTGGTGATGGTTGTAGGTGTACGGACAACAGCATCCACATATCATCAGGTTCAGCTCAATAATATGGGATTATATGGAATATGGAAAATTGTGAATGAAGTGGTTGCTGGACACTTAATATTTATAAAAATAAAAGAACATTCGACTTGTTTCTTATTAGATGAATGACATGACATCCCAAGAAAAAATAAAGAGATAAAAGACTGTTCCCCCTAATCACCAATGTATCCTCTAAATTCCGAACACACATGCACACGGTGCATCTTGCTGGCAAACATACAATATCTAAGAGATTGATGTAGAACTTTATCGATCGATCGTTTGTTTTAGCCCGGATCGATTTTGACCCACTGGTCGGGGGAAAAATATTGAATCATTTCGATCCTTTGATCATTCATCACTGTGTTTTTTTATTAATATATACGTTAAATATTCTAAAATTTAATTTTTAATACGTATTTGGCCCATTTAAATAAGACAATATGTTAATATGTTCATTGTATATTTATTTAATAATTACAGTATTATTAAAAATTGCGTTATTGTGTGCAACCCGTACGAAGTTGAACTTCTTTAAGACATACAATCTTCTTTTATTTTATATTTTACATAAGTTGGCAAAATAATATTATACTCATGCAGTCCCAGCGGTGAAACGTTTCAAGAAAACTGTACAAGAAAACGTAACGTTACTATTTTTAATACGGTATTAAATTTTTCCACTACGTTGATAAAGAAATTTCCTTTCAATTATTATTGTTCAATGTTAATAAAAAAAAAAACTATTCTATTCTATTCAATTCGATCAATCGTGATCGACATAAATCTAAGCTGACGATGATATTGGAATTAAGCAGTTGACCGTTTTGTTTAATGTTTGGGTAGTAATTAGTTAAGAAATTTTAGTTAAAGTAAATTAAAAACTCAAAATCAATAATTTCAAAATCGAACTGTGGTATACTTATGAATATATTACTGCTCCCGTCACTATACATTTATAAAATAGTCATTTTGGTTTTTCAGAATAAGTCATTGTTTTTATCCCCAAAACTAACGTGAGCTAGACAACCTGTCCTAGACTTAATTCCTAGGCTCCTTAAATAAAAAATACATTAAAATGAACTACCTAAATAATTTAAATGGCTAAGCGAAAGATTATTGAGGAAATATTGTATAAGAGGTTAAAAACTTATGATTTAAAATATATGTTTTTTATAATTTAAACATTGTAAACTGCCAGCTCATGAGGTACCTTGAATATCACCAGCTGATTAGTGACCGCCAATACGGTTTTCGCCGTGGTCGGTCAGCTGGTGATCTTCTGGTCTACCTAACTCACAGATGGGCGGAGGCAGTAGAGTTCAAGGGGGAGGCATTGTCCGTTAGTTTGGACATTGCGAAGGCCTTCGATCGGGTTTGGCACAAAGCGCTTCTTTCGAAGCTCCCTTCCTATGGGCTTCCCGAGAAATTGTGCGATTGGATCACCAGCTTTCTTACAGATCGGAGCATCAAGGTCGTTGTAGACGGTGCAAGCTCCGATTGCAAGCCTATTAATGCTGGTGTTCCACAGGGCTGCGTGCTATCGCCAACGCTGTTTCTTCTGCATATCAATGACATGTTGCATACCCGTAACATTAATTGCTATGCAGATGACAGCACTGGTGGTGCTCTTTACACCGGCCGAGCCAATTTTTCTCGGGAAAACGTCTCCGAGTGCCGGGACAATCTTGTGTCTGAAGTCGAGTCTCTGCTGGACAGAGTCTCGAATTGGGGGCGACTAAATCTAGTCCAGTTTAACCCCCAGAAGACACAAGTTTGTGCGTTAACTGCTAAAAAGAAGCCCCTTTGTCGTATCCCCTCAGTTTCAAGGCACTCCCCCTTGTTGCCTCAGCCAGTATCGGAATCCTCGGCGTCGACATATCGAGTGACGTGCAGTTTCGTGGTCACTTGGAAGGGAAGGCCAAATTGGCCTCTAAAAAAGCTTGGCGTGCTCAGCAGAGCGGGACAGTATTTCATGCCGGCACACCGCCTGCAACTTTACAAGGCGCAGGTTCGGCCGCACATGGAATACTGTTCCCATCTCTGGGCTGGGGCTCCCCAGTACCAGCTTCTTCCACTTGACCGCATCCAACGCAGAGCGGCTCGAATCGTCGACGACCGAGTGCTTTCCGATCGGCTCGATTCACTGGCGCTGCGAAGAGATGTTGCATCTCTTTGCGTATTTTATCGCATCTATCACGGGGAGTGCTCTGAGGAATTGTTCGGATTAATCCCAGCCGCCAAATTTCGTAAACGCACTACACGTCAAACGTCCCGATACCATCCACACCATCTGGATGCTCGGCGGTCCACCACTGTACGTTTCACAAGGAGTTTTCTTCCACGTCTACAACCTCTCTGTGGAATAGTTTACCACCGGCGATTTTTCCGGACCGATACGACCTGGGGACCTTCAAGAAAAGAGCTTACTCCTTTCTAAAGGGCCGGCAACGCACTCGCAATTCTCCTTGTGATGCGGTTGATCATGGGCGGCGGTAGTCACTTAACATCAGGTGAGCCACATGCTCGTTTGCCCCTTCTTCTATATAAAAAAAAAATTTAAAATATTTTTCTAAATTTTAATCAATTAATATTGTCATACAAACAGTGAAACATTAAAATTTGCATGCCATATATTGTTAGCAAAACTCGACTACACTATAAATTGTTACATCTTCTTATACCGTAACAATATACCGGTATAAGAAGATGTTACAACTTATACAGTGTAGTCGCTGTATGGATTGTAACATCTCCATACACCGTGATTGTTCCAAATAAATATTTATGATTTATGAGTTCACACAGTGACCGTGAAGTGAGTAGTGACAGTGAATTAATTAAAACACCCGAAGTCGATACAACACTAAACAGTGTGTTTTGACTTCGGGTCGTAATTTGGGGGTTTTAATTAATTTTCAATTGGATGTTTGGTGTAATAGATCTAATTTTTAAAATTCTATATATTATGCATGTGTGCATTGTGTGTGTGTGTGTGTGTGTGTGTGTGTGTGTGTGTGTGTGTGTGTGTGCGTGCGTGCGTGTGTGTGTGTGTGTGTGTGTGTGTGTGTGTGTGTGTGTGTGTGTGTGTGGGTGTGTATGTGTGTGTGTGTGTGTGTGTGTGTGTGTGTGTATGCGTGCGTGTGCGTGAGCGTGTGCGTGTGCGTGTTAGTGCGTACGTGCTTGCGTGCGTACTTGCATATGTTCGTGTGTGCATGCATGTGTGTATGCTTGCGTGTGTGCATACGAGCGTGTGGGCGTGAGTGCGTGCGTGCGTACGTGCGCGCGCGCGCGTGTGTGTGTGTGTATGTGTGTATGAATTTTTTATCTTAACAGATAATTAAGTTTTTAGTGAAATATATTCAATTTTGTAGTTCTTTTAAAAAAATGTTTAGCAATAAGTATTTTTTATTATTTAATGTGGCAGTATAAATAAATCTATATGTTTTATTTAAAGGAGGCTGGATGGAGTTTCTCATGAATTGAAACTGGTAAACGGCAGATACTCGGCGGTAGCTTCGGTTACGTTGTTCGACGCTGATCTTCCTTCACCTGCGGAGTTTATTTGCACTCTCCGAATACCTTTAGCAAAATACGCAGTAAGGAAAGAAGCAATTTACTATCCGGGTAAGAATTTCCTTTTATTATTTTTTCCTATAATCATACCATAGTAAAAAATAGAATAAAATAATAAATAGTTAGGAGTTTTGTTGGGAACTTTATGGCAAGCAGATGTTGCTCTTGTCTTATTATTTATGTACAGGCTTATTTTTTATTTTTTTTATAGAAGAAGGGGCAAACGAGCATGTGGCTCACCTGATGTTAAGTGACTACCGCCGCCCATGATCAACCGCAACACCAGGAGAATTGCAAGTGCGTTGTCGGCCCTTTAGAAAGGAGTAAGCTCTTTTCTTGAAGGTCCCCAGGTCGTATCGGTCCGGAAAAATCGCCGGTGGTAAACTATTCCACAGAGAGGTTGTACGTGGAAGAAAAACTCCTTGTGAAACGTACAGTGGTGGACCGCCAAGCATCCAGATGGTGTGGATGGTATCGGGACGTTTGACGTGTAGTGCGTTCACGAAATTTGGCGGCTGGGATTAATCCGAACAATTCCTCAGAGCACTCCCCGTGATAGATGCGATAAAATACGCAAAGAGATGCAACATCTCTTCGCAGCGCCAGTGAATCGAGCCGATCGGAAAGCACTCGGTCGTCGACGATTCGAGCCGCTCTGCGTTGGATGCGGTCAAGTGGAAGAAGCTGGTACTGGGGAGCCCCAGCCCAGAGATGGGAACAGTATTCCATGTGCGGCCGAACCTGCGCCTTGTAAAGTTGCAAGGCGGTGTACCGGCATGAAATACTGTCCCGCTCTTGCTGAGCACGCCAAGCTTTTTAGAGGCCAATTTGGCCTTCCCTTCCAAGTGACCACGAAACTGCACGTCACTCGATATGTCGACGCCGAGGATTCCGATACTGGCTGAGGCAACAAGGGGAGTGCCTTGAAACACTGAGGGGATACGACAAAGGGGTTCTTTTTAGCGGTTAACGCGCAAACTTGTGTCTTCTGGGGGTTAAACTGGACTAGATTTAGTCGCCCCCAATCCGAGACTCTGTCCAGCAGAGACTCGACATCAGACACAAGTTTGTCCCGGCACTCGGAGACGTTTTCCCGAGAAATATTGGCTCGGCCGGTGTAAAGAGCATCACCAGTGCTGTCATCTGCATAGCAATGAATGTCACGGGTATGCAACATGTCATTGATATGCAGAAGAAACAGCGTTGGCGATAGCACACAGCCCTGTGGAACACCAGCATTAATAGGCTTGCAATCGGAGCTTGCACCGTCTACAACGACCTTGATGCTCCGATCTGCAAGAAAGCTGGTGATCCAATCGCACAATTTCTCGGGAAGCCCATAGGAAGGGAGCTTCGAAAGAAGCGCTTTGTGCCAAACCCGATCGAAGGCCTTCGCAATGTCCAAACTAACGGCCAATGCCTCCCCCTTGAACTCTACTGCCGCCGCCCATCTGTGAGTTAGGTAGACCAGAAGATCACCAGCTGACCGACCACGGCGAAAACCGTATTGGCGGTCACTAATCAGCTGGTGATCTTCAAGGTACCTCATGAGCTGGCAGTTTACAATGGACTCCATTGTTTTGGAGAACAAGGAGGTGATGGCGATTGGCCGGTAGTTGGACGGGTCAGAGCGGTCACCTTTTTTATGGATCGGGTGGACGAAAGCCGTCTTCCATGATTTTGGAACTACGCCTAGGGAGTAGGAGTACCGGAAAAGACGCGTTAAAACCGGTGCCAACTTTGGAGCACACGTCCTCAGCACAATTGGGGGGATTCCGTCAGGCCCACTCGACTTGTGGATGTCCAGGGAGAGGAGTGCTTTGCGAACCGAGCGCTGTGTGAAGTGCACTTCCGGCATGGAGCACTCACACCGCGGGATGGTCGGCGGAGTACTCCCCCCGTCATCGAGCGTCGAGTTAGACGCAAAGAAAGAGCCTAGAAGATCGGCTTTCTCCTTTGCGGTATGGGCCAGTGAGTCGTCCTCCCTGTGCAGAGATGGAAGAGATGGCTGACAGAAATTCCCCTGGACAGCCTTGGCGAGAGACCAGAATGCACGGGTTCCAGAAGGAAGGCGAACTAGTTTCTCGCCAATTCTGCCTATGTGCTCTGACTTTGCCTTGACAATGACTCTTTTGAAGGACCTAGAGGCGGAATTATACTTATTTTTTAGAGCGCTGGTGTTTACATCCCGGGACGCTGATGCATCAGCCCAGGCTTGGTAGCACTCCTGCTTATAGCATGATGCTATTTTAGGAGCGACCAAACCATGGCTGAGACTTGCCTCCAATGGGCACCACAGAGTAAGGAATAAAAAGTTCCATACCCTGAAGTACCACATCAGCAACAGAGTCCGCAACAACGTTGGGATCATCCGGCGAGAAGCAAACCCGCCCCCAAGGGTAGGATGCAGAGAAAGACCGCATCCCATCCCAATCGGCTGACCTATAGTGCCAAACACGGCGGCAGCCTGCAGAATGCAACCGCGATTTCAGCGTGAGTGGTACCACACTCCGGACCAGACAATGGTCCGAGGAGCCTAAAGGGGCGTCGACGGAAATCTGATATCCGTCCGGGTGAGAGGTCAGCAGAAGGTCCAACAGGGAAGGTGCATGATCCTCCACATCTGGAATCCGCGTAGGTGAAGTAACCAGTTGTGTCAGACCATATGCCAAGGCAAAATCATGAACAGATCTCCCCGCATGATCGGTTAAACGTGAACCAAGCCATTCGGCGTGATGGGCGTTAAAGTCGCCGAGGATCACGATCTCTGCGGAGGGGATCTGCTGTAGCAACGAATCTGCAGCCATTTGGACGTGGTCGAATAGTCGGTCTGTTTCGGCATTACCGCTATGGGACCTATAGAGGCACCCGTAGACGCGCGGATGGTCGTCGCTGTCTACGCGTAGCCAAAGGATGGACAGGTCCGAACCTTCAAGTCTGCCGAGGCGTCGAGAGCAGATGTCCTCTCTGACGTAAACGCAAACTCCAGCCCGAGGCACAAAGGAGTGTTCCAGTTTGTACCCCGGGTAGGAGAGATACGAGACATCAGCCGGAGAGGACACCTGCGTCTCGGTCAGAAAGAGCAGAGCCGGCCTCGCCGTCTCGAGATGGTAGTGGACGGCGTTTAGGTTAGAGTGAAGTCCCCTGATATTGCAGAAATTCACGGACAGCGTGGCAGGGGTCGCCTTGGTCTTGTTGCTCCATTTGCCCCGAGCAGTTGTAGTCTTGAGCGGAATTTTGCCCCCCCCCCCCCCAGAATACGCGGGGCAGCCTGAGCACCCACGCTCAGAAGTGGAGAAACATGGTCGTGGATGCTCAGCGAGGGATTCTCCAGGGGTGCTGGTACCCTCCTGGGGTAGTCGATCGTTATTTAATTCCGCTACCATGTTGATGGGAGGGGGGATTTGGGCCTCCGGCCACCCAAACTCACCAGACGAAACGCGGAAGCAGAGCTTCCACTTCACGCCGGCATTCTGTGAGGTCGTGATACCACCCTGGTTTGAGCCGGCACATACGTGCAACAGCAAAGCTGCCGCGTTGCTCTACCACTGTTAACTTATGGATTTTTATTAGTAATGTGGTGTTATTTTAGGTATAAAATATCTGAAACGGTATTTATTAGAGGAAACTATGAATTAATCGGGAAGTCCACGCAGTAAGAAATCATTTTAAACCCGTAACGTTGGCTTTGTAAGAGATTACAATGGGAAATATCAGAGACACTTATAATTAAGGCAAATCCTCTTGACAGCGGGAGAAGTATATGTCTATCAGTAAATTGACGGGCAAATAAAAAATAAAGATGATGAAATAAGTGTGTCGGCGCCTTGATATACTACCGTCATGTTTTTATTTGCGCCCGAAGCTAATATGGGCAACCCTGCGGAAAGCGGGGTAGGGAGGCGGTGAATGCACATAGCATACCACGCAGCCGGCTGCGTGGTTATGTGGAGACTTTTACCCACTAAACCCCCCTTTTAGGGACTGTGTTAACGGTCTAACTGGAGATCTCTTAGCCGTATACGAACGCGACCCTCCTTGGCAGAAAGGAGGGCGCAAGCGGCGAAAAGCCGCTTAGACGACTGCCTAACTAAGGCAGATTAAGGGATGTGTTATGTAGGCTTGGCCTGAGCCGCCAGGAGGCAGTTCAGGTCAGCCGAAAGCTTGTTGGGGGGGTCCGAGAGAGAGTTTCTCGGTCTGCGCACACTATAGCGAGTGTGGATAGGGGCTGCATAGGCAGCTGTCTCTCGAATGAGATGATTTGGGTGGGACTCTGAGGCTTTGAAAAATCTCTCAGAAAGTGATTTAAGGAACTGCTGAATTGTTGGGAGTTCTCTAAGTCTCGGTGTAAGTCGGCATTACGGATATAATAGGGTGAGTTAGTGGCCCTACGACAGAATAGGTTTTGGACTATTTGAAGTTCATTTATAGCTTTGGGCTTAGCATGTGCGAAAATGGGAGCCGCGTTGGTCATGACAGGTCGTATGCAGATGTAGGGTTCGCATGTTGCGGAGGGACATTTTACTGTGTCTGCCCAACATACTTTTGAGCCTACCCATGTAAAATCGTGCGGTGCGAGTAACCTTCTTGATATGGGGCTCGAAAGTGAGCCTTGCATCAAGGGTGACACCTAGGTATTTGGCTTTAGTTTGCCATGGGACAGGGGTTACTAACATCCTGATTGGCGGAATGGTGGTTAGACGACGCCGTTTATATTCGAAGCAAACGGCGGAGCTTTTCTCCGGGTTTACGTCGATACGCCATTTTTGGAACCAAGCTCCTAAGTCGCTTACTGACTTTTAGATCTTGTTCCCAATCTATGGCAGTGAGTTGCCTTTAGAGTAAAGGGCTGTGTCATCTGCAAAGAGGGCTAGTTTAACACCATTCGACGGGATAGGGATGTCATTGGTGAATAGTATGTATAGGAGCAAGCACAGAGCCTTGAGGGACACCGGCTTTGATTTGACGAGTAGAGGATAGCGTGCCTTCGTGTCTAAAGCGAAAGGTACGATCCTTCAGATAGGAGGCTACAAGGCTAACGAGACGGTCTG